GAAACTAAACATGTGGGCAAAGGTGTTCATTCAAAAGCAATCTTTTTATATCTAATTGCTATATATAACAGTAATAATTATAATCACCTAAATGTTAAACAATGGGAAATGTTTAATAAATCCTATTTCCCTATTTAAGGTGTACAAGTATAGCCACCCTAGGAGTCTGTTGCTTTGGGTTTTTTTTTTTTTTGTTTTGGTTTGCCAGCCAAAGCCTTATGCAGGCTACTGTAAACCAGGGGTTCTCAACTGCAGTGCCATGGAGGACCGTGGTGACTCCCTACTAGAGCTCCTGAATTATTAGAGAACTCTCCCCTTTGCTACAGCTGTGATTCACACGTGACCATAGTGTCCGGGCAGACAGACTGCTGAGCTACACTGCATGGCACAACGTGATACACATGAAGAAACTAAGAAATCGTATGCATTTGCCAGAACCTGTGAGCATATGGAAGAGAGGGTGACTAGGGCAGTAATTTGTTCTATTCAAATAGTGTCACAATGCGCACGTGATCAGTAAAGCAGTAAAATTGCTACCGTGTTTCCCTGAAAATAAGACATACTTACATGTATCCTTCTGAGTGAAATATAAGGCATCCCCCCCGAAAATAAGGCCCCCTTAGGCTAAACATGACAGATTTGGTCCACTGATTCTGAAAGAAATGGAGTCACAAGAAATTCACCAGGAAATTCAGGAATTGGATTGTTATGATGATGCTCCAGAAGATGATGACATGATTGTCATTGAATAAATGAGTAAATTCTTGATACTGTAGGATTCACAGTTTGTCTAGTTTGTGTTGACAACTACCGTACTACCGTACTGTATACAGGTAATAAATTTCCTTTATTTTCATTTAACAATAAATGTGTACCGTATTCTTCTTCATGGAAAAATAAGACGTCCCCTGAAAATAAGACCTAGTGCATCTTTGGGAGCAAAAATTAATATAAGACACTGTCTTATTTTGGAGGAAACAGGGTATTATTCATGCAACTTAATCCTTTTGAGCGTGCTGCCAAAAATACTACCAGACAAAAGAATGCCATTCTATGCATTAGAATTATGCTGTAACAGATACGCCCCCCAAATCTGAGGTTCTCTCTCACCCATGTAACTAGACCCGTGGTAAGCAAACTTCAGCTCACAAGCCACATGTGTCTCTTTGACCCCTTGAGTGTGGCTCTTCCACAAAATACCACGGCCTGGGCGAGTCTATTTTGAAGAAGTGGTATTAGAAGAAGTTTAAGTATAAAAAATGTGGCTCTCAAAAGAAATTTCAGTCGTTGTACTGTTGACATGTGATTCTGTTCACTCATGAGTTTGCTGACCACTGAGCCAGACCAATAAAGGTGATTCAGGAACCCAGACTCTCCCACCCCTCAAGCCTCAAAATCTGATAGTCACCTGGGCCTCTTAGTCACCTGGGCCTGCAAGTGACACATATCACTGTCAGTCCCATTTGCTAGTGACTAGTTCCAGTCCTACCTAGGTGCAGGGGCTGCTGGGAACACATCCCTGGCTGAACAGCCACTTCCCAAGGACTCCTTTACACTGTGACGGGAAGAACACACATTTCTGGTGGACAGGCTCCCCTCTTTGTTGCCACCACAAACCCAAAAGGATTGAAAACCACTGGGCGATGGGTGTTGTTGCTATGCCAAATGGAGAAGTAGGCCTCATGGGTAGAACAATGCCTCCTGCTCTCACGTGTTGTACCCTGGGGTGTACCACAGGCATGGTGGAGAACTTGAATGCCACCACTTTGTGCCATTTGGTCTGCTCCTCTCTGTGCGTCTCTCCTTCACCACCTGCCACCCCGGAGCTCTGGCTCAGGTGCCCGTCCCTGGTCTGACCAGTTGTCACCAGGGGGCAGAGCTGTCACGGTGTGCATGTGGTTTAAGAGGCACACAACTGCTTCCTGCAGAAAGAACTGCCTGGGACCGCTTCTCCTACAGAGAGATTATAGGCATGGCAGGTACTTGAAGCTTCATGCACCTGCCAGCACTGCTGTGCATTAGTTGGATATGATGTCAAATATACTTGTTTATGACTTAGGGGGAGTTTTACTGTACTTGTTTATGGCAAAGACAAAAAATAAAGTTGTTTTGATATAGGAATGAAGTAAGTCGTGCCACAATGTCATCATGCTTCATCTGTGGTGATAAGCAGTCAGCAGCCTAGTTGCTAAGGGGCCCCATGAGATTATGATAAGAACATGTGGAGAAGCAACTTTGGCAAGGGGACATTTACTATAAACTACACTATAAGTATTGAGAGTTTGCCCTTGCCGGTGTGGCTCAGTTCGCTGAGCAACCCTGGTGCTGACTGAAAGGTTGGAGTCCCGGCCAGGGCACATACCCAGGCTGCCCATCTGATGCCCATTTGATCCCCAGTGGAGGTACATGTGGAAGCAACCTATCGCTGTTTCTCCCTCTTCCTTTCCCTTCCTCTCTCTCTAAAACCAATTTTAAAACATATAAAAATACTGAGAGTTTGTGAGGATTGTTTGAGATTTTCCCCACAGCAGCCTGTGAAAGAGATCTGCCCCACCACCACCACCACCACCACCACCACCACCACCACACACACACACACACACACACACACACACTGGTATCTTCATTCCCTAGCAACGTGCTCTAGCAACATGGGACTTTTGCCCTGGCGGGTTAGTCACTGATTCTCCCAAGTGCCTCCTCTGGTAAGAAGGTACACATCACCAAAACCGTGGATAGAGCGTCGGCCTGTGGACTGAAAAGTCCCAGGTTCGATTCCTGTCAAGGGCATGTACCTTGGTTGCGGGCACATCCCCAGTAGGGGGAGTGCAAGAGGCAGCTGGTCAATGTTTCTCTCTCATCGATGTTTCTAACTCTCTATCCCTCTCCCTTCCTCTCTGTAAGGGATCAATAAAAATATATTAAAAAAATAATAATAATCTGGCCACTCAGTGTATACCCTATATAATAGAAGGTTAGCATGCAAATTGTCCCTTCAACCGTAGTTCAACCAGTCAGCAGGCTGGCCAACCGCCCATGTCACCTCCCCCTGGCCAGGCTGGCCGGACCCCACCCATTCAAGAATTCATTCACCAGGCCTCTATCACACACACACACACACACACACACACACACACACACACACACATATATATATATATATATATATATATATATATATATATATATATATATATATGTATACACACACACACACACACTGAGTGGCCAGGTTATTATGCATTCAGAGATCATAATAATCTGATCACTCAGTGTATATATGTAGGGTTGCCGTAGGAGGAACACACCAGGCCAAAGTGATGAGGAATTATAAATTTATTAGGTCATCTGGAGACCAGATGGGCTGAGCCTCAAAATGACCCCAGCACCCAGGGACAGGGAGTCAAGAGATTTTAAAGGACTCCAGGCAGGCTTTTTCTGGGCGGAGAATTCTCTGGGGCGGTCCTGAGGGGAAAGATAATGGTCTTAGCAAGTGGAATGTGGTCTTAGCAAGTGCTAAGCAAAAGGGAATGTCTGTTGTGAAGTGGTCTAAAGGTCAGGTCTCAGGGGAGCGGTGTCCATTCAATTATTTGATCAAACCTAACATTCCTCCCCCCCCCACCCCCCCACCCCCCGCCCAGAGTGGAAGGGAGAGGGAGAGAGAGGTAGAAACATCAATGATGAAAGAGTCATTGATAGGTTGCTTCTGCACACCCCTCATGTGCCCTGACCAGAATCTAACGGAGACCTCCTGGTTCATAAGCTGATGCTCAACCACTGAGCCACATGGCGGGGCTCCTATAGAGTCCTTTACCACTCACTGAACTCATAGATTTTCATTGTTTGCGTATCTACCTTTCAACAGGACTTGAAGCTCTTGGAGAGGAGTGACTGAATCCCAAGGGCCCAGCAACATACTGAACATTCCAACGATGTGTGAATCAAACGACGAAATCAAGTAAGGATTGATCAGACTGAGGCGTTTATTCCAAACCCAGCTGTATCTTCCCTGGAACTAAAAGGGATCCAGGACTCTGTCCGCTGGAAAGAACTCGGAAGCAACGGGAAGATGTTGCAGGAATGAGAGTTGTGATCCAAGTGGGGATTTCCTGGCAAGAAAGAGCCCGGATGAGTCACATCGCTGTGCTTGAAGGGATCCCTGAGTCTGCTCATTCCTTCGGGATCGCTCACTCCTCCCAGGGCCTCCCGGGGGAACAAAGGAAAACCCAGGCCTGGACGCTGCGCCCTTTTCCTCCAACAGCTGCGAGTGGTTTGCCTTTCACCCTAAACCACAATCACAATCAACGGCAGCGGGAGGGATAGGCATCCGCTAGGAAACAGAGGTTTTTCGCAAAATTTTCTTCCAGAAATTTCTTCTAAAGGGCGCTAAGGACCTAACAGGCCAAATACAGGCCAAAAAAAGGAGAAGCTTTGAAACAGGTTCCAACAGTTATCAACGACGGTAGCTGAACTATCGACCCAGAGAGAAGCCAGACACGCTAAAAGGAATAAATCCCTCTCGACAAAGGGTTTGTGAGGGCCCCGGAGCTGTGACCAGACCCACAGCACCCTCCCTCCCCACCCCCGCGGGGCAGGCAGCGCAGACCCCGGGCGCAGACCGTGCAGACGCAGGGGACCGGCTCCCGCGGGCCCCTCCCTGCAGTGCCATCTAGAAACTAATTCCTCGACCGGGTCTGCCCGGCTGGATGCTTGGATTTCCGCATTCACTCTCTCCCTCTCTCTAAAACCAAGCCCGAGAGGAAAGGCACGGCCGGCGGTGGGGAGGTCCGGAAACACTCCCGATGAGAAGTTTACGCTAATGTTGACCCTGGGAGCGGGCGGGAGGCCCGGACCCGGGTCCCCACGCGCCCTCGGGGCGAGGAGGAGGGTGTGAGCGCTGCGCCCGGGCGGTGTGTGTGGGGGGCGGGCGGGGGCAGGAAGGGGCGGGAGGAGAGGGGCGGTGAGAGCCCAGCCCCGCACCCGCCCCGGCTCCTCCCGCTCCCCACCCCCACCTACTAAGGCTCCCGGCGCGCCGCGCGCCGCTCACTGGCCGCGTCCCCGCCGCCTCCCCGCAGCCGCCGATCCCGCCGATCCCGCCGCGGTGAGTCCCGCCCGCCGCCCCCGGCGGTCCCTGCCCCGGACCCCGGCCCGGCGCCTAGGGAAAGCCCCCGATCGCCGCCCCGGCCCACCCGCCGGGCTCCGCGGAGGTCTCCCAGCGCCTGGGGGAGGTGGGGAGGAAAGGTGGGGGGAATCCGTGCTCTGGCCACACTCGACCGCCCCCCCAGATTCCCGCAGGCCAGGGCAGGGGACTCGCCTTTAGGACAGGACGTAAGTTTTGGGGCCCCGGGGTCCGATCTCCCCTCCCTTACTTGACTCCCACTTGCCTACTTTTCCGACTAGACTCCCCCAGTTCAGCGAACCCCCCTGCTGTTGGCCCCTTGTCTTGGCGGCATGTTATTTTGTGGTCCTCTTGGACCTCCGTCCAGCTGTTCGAACCCTCCCCCGCCTGGGCCGCCGGAGCAGCGGGCTCGGGAGGGCTGCGGGCGGCTGGGGAGGGGAGGGCTGGGCAGGTTGGCAGCTGGCGGGTACCCCTCCTAAAGGGACACCCTCAGCCCCTGGCCCTGGGCTTCAGGTGGTGCTTCCTGTTTGTCTGCTAGACCTGAGGGAGGGAGGGAGGTCTGTTTGATTTCTTTATAAAGCAGTTTTGCAGGGGGAGGGGCGGGGAGAGGACTGTGTTAGATTGATTTCTCTACGGAAAGGGTTTTCCCCTCTTGCTGCCTTTAATGAAACAAATGGAACTAAAAAGAAATAGGGAAAGAACAGCCTTGGCATGAAGGACCTTCCAGCCCAAATGAATCTGGCCCAGTGCAATGAGACGGAGATGTGCTGGCTACCTGGCCGGCCACACTTGAACTTGGCCAAAAGAATAAATAACACCTCCTCCAGGCCTGGACCCCGCACGCTCCTGCCTCAACGGAGCCCCACCTAACTGAAACCAGGACTTTGCAGGGGAGTGGTAAGCCCCGCTGAGGGCTGGAGGCCAGACCCTGCACAGCTTTAGGCCAGACTCTGGAATCCATTAAGCCCACCCACACACCCTCCGCCCCTTCTCTCTGGGGGAGCTGGGAGCCTTCTGCAGGGCGTGGCTAGCACAAAGGGCTCCAGGATTCTCGGAGTGGATGGAGGCCTGTGACTCAGCTGTGAGACCATGTGGGTGTGGCCCTGGTGGTTCTGGCTACTCTCTGCAGATGGTTTGGACAGGACACTCCCTGAAGGGAAAGGGGAACCATGCCATCTTGGAGGGCATTTTCCAAGAGGAAGTGAGTCACCCCAGGGACTGGCAGGCAATCTGAAGCAGAGAAGGCCTCTCTCTTAGTTGAACTATGGATGAGGGTGGCAATTAGACAGGCAAGGCCATCATGAGACCGCTGCTGGGTTATCTGCCTCACGCTTGTTGGCAGGCTGCGGCAGCTTCGCTGGGGAGGCAGCTTTTCTGTTAAAAGGCTTACAGTTGCAGAATTCCACTCCCCCACCCAGGCGCACGCACGAATACACACACACGCACACGCACATGCACTCCCCTGCAGCTAGTCTGAGTTTCAACCTGCAGCAATGGATTTTTATATCCTGCACTTCAGGTGAGGCCAAGTTCATGGAAACGCCCTCTCAAAGATCTTTGCCTCCAACGTGTTTCAGCAAATTGCAAAAGGTAACGCCAGGGGTTGGAGCAGGAATGAGTTCATAGAACTCATTTGCAATTTCTTCCGTCAACCCTGCCCCCACAGACTCCTGTCCAGCCCCCACCAATTCCTGTCCATCGCCTACTTAACCACCTCTTCTAAATGGTAATACCTTCTTCGACAGCCCTAAGCTACCTTCTTCACAGTCCTTGATCCACCATTTGGAGTTCCTTATTCCAGTTCCTCAAAGTTTCTTCTTGAGAGTCTACAGGGCACAAAGCATCCTGATTTCTAGGTGATGGATGCTCTTCCCTGATGTTTCCTGCATCCACATCAGAGGAGTCTTTTCCTCCCAGGTCTGACTTCTGGCCAGCCTCTCAAGCACCAATCCCAGTGAGAGCAGGCCTGGGCCTGGGCGGAGCTGAGACCGGGTGCCTCCCTGCTTTCCACGGACAGTTCCAAAAAAATGTGGCTTTTTAAGAGCACTACCCACTTGATATGCTCTTGGCCACAGCCCAGTCTTTTAAAGTCGGGGAAAACAATGGAATCTTTTCAGGGTTGTAATGTGTAAATTAGCCCTCAGAGTGCTGCGAAAGCTGGACTGCCAGAAGTTTTAGGATCTTTTGTAAGCTTTTCATTTTCTTGGAAACGCAACATTTGGGAATATCGCAACAAATGCAACAAGAATGAATTATTTCTGACAGTGGTCAGCCCTTCCTAGCCCTTCATCAAATAACTACCACCCAGTGGATTTACTACCGTTGTCACAATGGCTATTGTTTGACTGTGCAGGATGGTTAAGGAATAGGAGAATGGTGTACACCATTGGGTTGCTCCTGGAACTTTTCCTTTGTCGCCTGATTTCTTGTTGGGCAAGTTTTATGTTTGGTGAACGTGGGAGACACAGGCTGGATCCAGATCCATTGCCCCGAGTCCTTTTTTCTTAATTTCCTTTGGGGATCAAGTTCAATGTCTTCTGGGTTTAATTTTCAAAAAAAAGGGTGGGGTGGGGTGGGGTGCGGGGAGTGGTTCTTTTCAAAATCTCTGAAGCAAAAGGAAGGAAACCTCCAACATATTTAAAATGATAGATGTTTGTTTTTAGTGACACCCTGCCAGTTATTTTCCGGGTGGGCTGTAAGAAAACGACAGTATGGATGAGCAAAGTAAATCCAAAAATCCAACCTCTTGCTCTTTAGAATGATCCTCTTTAAAATCACGGACTAGATCTGGGCAGGGGCCCAGAGCAAACATTTGGGATTGCTCAGGAGCAGACTTTTGTGAGGAAGCCTCCTGCTTCCCTGCTGCCCCTGGGAGCATTGAAATTGACTTTATCGTCAATTTCATCCTCACTGATTCTTACGCAGCCTCTAACGGGCAGGGTGCTAGCTACCGGGACCTTGGTCAGGGAAGCCCACAATCTGGTGAGAAAAGAAACAAAACAGTTAACTAGAGGTTAGAACATCTTTTTAAATAGTATGCCATTAGCTGGGGCACGTCCCAAAGGCAAGCACTGTGTAATTAGTATGTGTATGTGTTTGTATCTGACACATGACCAGGACATGCAAAGTGTAGGAGTTCCGGAAACGGAAAGTTGAATTTTCTACACATGTGGAGAGAATCATTTCTTTAGAGAAAACTACACAGAGAGACTATGGACTCCCGAACCTCCACTCTTAAAGACCAGGCAAACAGGAAATATACAGATACCAGAATAAAATGATTCAATTAAAAAAAAAAAAGAGTGAACAATAAGGCAGTTACATTCAGCGGAGCTCACAGTGAGAGAGCAGAGCTGGGAGGGCATGAAGTGGGGAGAAAATGTAATAGTGAGAAGGGAAAGAGAAGTCACGGCTGGGTCTGACCAGACCTGTTTAGGAGGATGCATATTTTCCCTCTGCGTGTGGAATGTGCTTTTCTGTGTACTCTGCTGTCTCGCTCAGCCTCCTTGTGGGCCCCTTTCCCAGCCCTTCCCAGCTCTCCAGTCCTCCTGCCCAGCTTGAGCTACCAGGTTTGCAAGCCAGTCTCGGGTGATCACACCTGCCAAGGGGATTACTTGATTCATTCAGTCAGTCATTTAGCAAACACTTCCGTTAGTGTTTCTGGATAGAGCAGAATGATTCACACTTCTTATCCCAGGTAGAGAGACAGACAGGTGAACAAATAAATGAGTGTTTCAGATGCCGGAGGATGTTACCTGGGCACTGAGAGGACACTGCTGCCCCTTAGCCCAGGCCCAAGGCCCTCCAGTGAAAAATGTACCTAAGCTATTAATAGAAGTAAGAATCCTACCCCCTACTGCATGAGGAGGTAAGAGGGGGTGGAGCATGAGGGTGGAGGAGATGGGGAACCCCGGGTTCAAGTCCCTGAACTGCTGCTTTAGCAACCAACGGTCAGTGCTGCAGTCAGCCAGCCCCACCCTGCGGTGGGCCCCGCCCTGCAGTCTCCCCACCCAAGATGGGAGGGCTGGCTGCGCTGACTCAGTGGAGCAACCGCTGCTCTTGGAAAGAGCTGCATGACCATCCGCTACCAAGAGAACAGCTTTAATCCTCACATTTCCTCTTTTCCCCCATCGTACTACAAAACCAATGTGCTGGCTCTTCCTCCATAATCAAGTTAACTGGTCCGTAGCCCCGGTCAGCGCCCACTGGGGTCCAGGTTACTGAGGAGACAGCGGGCATCTGATCTGGTTTCCAAAGCTATTTTCACCTTCAGGACCTTACCCCTCCTGGCTAGTCGCTGCTCTCTTCTTTGTTCTTGTGGCAAATGTAAGACAAACAGTCAGCCGGCTGCTGTATTTACGACCCATTTGCTGAACACACAGGAGAGAAAGAGAAGGGATGGGTCCAGTGGGACAGGGAAGTGGCTTCCAAGAGGAATGCTCTATTGCTTTGTGATGAGCACAGACGAGGAGGGGGTGGGATTGGGACCTGAAACCTTAGTGCTGACTAAGAACAGACTATCCTCCCCCCCTTGAGGAAGACAGTCAAGGGTGGCCAAAGTGTCCTCAGCTTACCACCCGTGTCTCCTGGAAGTTCCTAAATTAGCCTGGTTCCTAGTTCGGGGCTCCTCACTCCGGCTTTGCAGAGCGCTTTCCTTCTGCTCTGCCCCGTGAAGGAAGTGAACTGGGCGTCCCTCAGCCCGTCCCAGTTTCTGGGATCTTCGGGGATTCGTCGTGAAGAACTCTGTGCTCTACACTCTGTGCTGTTTCTGAGCGTGGGCATAGGTATTTTTAAACCTTTCCTGAGTTATTTCAGAACTGGGATGGGATCCCACATCCTTCTCTCATAGGTGACTCACTCCGTTGAGTCTTAAGTTGCTGGCCTTCAAAAACTGACCCAGGCCAGGCCGTCTCCAGCCAAGCCAGCCCACTGCCAGCCGAAGCCACACGGGAGACGGGGGGAAGAGTGTGTTTGGTCCCGTGGAATTCCTCTCACAGCGGACCTTCAGCGGGAATGTGCTGCTCTCTCCAAGAGAACCGCCTTCCAGATGAGTCATGCCCCACTCTGGTGTATAGCACTCTCTGGAGGAGCACATTCCTTAGCGTGCTGGTTCACGCACCTCTCTGGGTCTTAAGGGGTAGAATTTACTATTTTTAAGTGTCATTGCTCAATCCTCGTGCTCACCAATCCCACCTTCTCCTCCGTAAAAGACAGCATTTGGGGATCTGTTTTGAAAACACACCTGTCAGCAGGAGAAACCAGACCGAAAGCCTTTCTCGAGTTCCCATTGGCCAACTCTCTAGCAAGGAAAGGTGCTAGCCTCTCCCTTCAACTGTGCTCACAACCAGTTCTTGTGTGCTGTTGTTGTATTAGGGAACGGTATGTTACAGCCTCCCAGTTTACCCATTTCCTATCCAGGAGTGACTTTAGGTGATGTCAGCCAAAACTGCTCTCTTCTGGCCAAAGCATTCCTTCCAACCAAGTCAAAATCCATTGAGCTTCTATCAAGTATTAAGCACTGGGTCTTCATGAGACATGTTACCCCTAGATCATTATACCTGAATATAATCTGACACGTTTGGTGTTGTTTTTTTTTCTTTTAAACTCTTCATGATGAAAGCTCTAGCTCTCCCACTGCACCCCAGACTGTGAAAGTAACTCTGCTGTTCCTTCTGCCCAAATTATATCAGGTCCTCAAAGGGGTTAGGCTATACCGTTACTTCTTCTCAAGGAACTGGATAATGAGCGTTGGGTAGCTTTTATTCAGGTAGGACAATTGCATTTACTACCAAAGATGCAAATAAATGTCTTTGTTGCCATCACTAACTAGTTCAAAGCTTTAGTAGTGAATACATACCCAGCAGGCCAAATTCATTTGTAAGCAGATTTCAAAGCCTTAGGATTAGACTGAATCAGGATACCAGTTATGCTTGGTGGGCTGAAGTTTCCCTACTCACCAGGCTTGACTGTGTGGGTTGCTGGTATTCCACCATATCTGAGAGTCCCATTTACCGGCGCCAAGTGAAATGATGAAACATGTATTCTTTCAATAGGTGCTTTGTCCATTAAGAAGAGGGATACTGACCCTGCCTTTCCCGATGATGAGAGGTCTTACTTTTCATTCCGTGATTTATGCAGAATTAGCGGGCAGCTAGATGAATCCCTCATTCAGAGCATCAATACCTGTGGTGCCTATTTTCCATCAGCAGGAGGCCCAAAACCAGGGGTGAATTGGTTCTTAGACTTACTGAGTTTTGCAGCTGGAAAGAATCAAGTGGATGATCTAACCACCCTCCTTACAATTATTCTCAAAATATTGGCACTACTTACAGCTTAAAAGTTAATGCAGCTGAAACTGGCTTGGCTCGGTGGATAGAGCATTGGCCTGCAGACTGAAGGGTCCCCGGTTCAATTCCGGTCAAGGGCATATACCTTGTTGTGGGCACATCCCAGCAGGGGGTGTGCAAGAGGCAGCAGATCTGATGTTTCTCTCTCATCGATGTTTCTAACTCTCTATCCCTCTCTCTTCCTCTTTGTTAAAAAAAAAAAAAAATCAATAAAAAAATATATATATTTTTTTTAAAAAGTTAATGTAGCTCTGGCTGGTATCTCAGTTGGTTGGGCGTCATCCCGTGCACCAAAGGGTTGCTGGTTCAATTCCCAGTCTGGGCACATGCCCAGGCTGTGGGCTTGCTCCCCTGTCTGTGTGATGGGGGGAAGAGAGGGGGGCGAGAAGGGGAATGTGCAGAAGACAGTCAATCTATATGTCTCACATCGTTATTTCTCCCTCTCCCTCTCCCTCTCTCTCTAAAAATCTATTTTAAAAAACGTTAAAGAAAAAAGTTAGTGTAAACTCTGTTTCTTTATATCTTTTCATATGTTTCAACAGACCTCACCAAAATGCCGTCTCAAATGGAACACGCCATGGAAACCATGATGTTCACGTTTCACAAATTCGCTGGGGATAAAGGCTACTTGACGAAGGAGGACCTACGAGTACTCATGGAAAAGGAGTTCCCTGGGTTTTTGGAAGTAAGTACCGAAAGGCTCAGAAAGAACCAGACATGAAATTCCAGGCCCTGGTTCCTTCCCCTTCTTCCTTCCACCCTTTCCCTGTGGAGGTCCCTGTTAGAAAGGCGTTTCCATTCACTTATTTATTTATTGAACGTTATTGAGTGTCTACTGTCTGTAAGATACCGTAGGGGAAACGAGGTAAAGAAGACGCAGCCCCTTCCTTCGAGGAGCTTACAATAGGAAGTGAAATAAGACTGCACACAAATAACTATAATCCAAGGTGTTTGTTAGAAGGAGTCCTCTGCATCCATTGACACTGAGTTGCAGGAAAGTCTTTCTCAAGAATTGCTAACAAGGCTACCTGGTGGCCCTCAGATCCATTAACCTGACATCGGAGATGCCACCTGGTCACTTTGAGCAACCTGAATCGCCCTTCTTAAATCCCTTCAGGTGAAGGCTTTTTACACTTTCCCTTAATTCTAAACTAAAGAAATGGTGCCAAGCATCTGCCGAGAGCCAAGCATCACTCCAGAAATGGTTGCTTTTCATCCTGAAAATGCTCCGAGAACACAGGAGCACAGCTTGAGTTTATATCTCACCTCTGTAAGACCGAGGGATTGTATGGACTGGAAGAGGACGCTGCAATCAGCTCAGATACATCACTCAGGGCATGAGCCATGAGGTCCAGTCGCCCTGTTACATTGCCGGCCCTCAAGAGAGTTGTTGCATTTCACCAAAGGTGAAACACTGCTTGACAAAATGTTAGATGAAAATGCAAGTCCTTCTTTCCCTGCCACAACTAGAGTCCCTTGAAAGGATCATTACTGGAATAATGTAAATAGAGGGTGGTGTGGAATAATGCATTAGCCTCTACAAGGCGAAGGGAGATGACAGCGAAAGGCCTCTTGTCCTCTGCCTGGACTATACCACGTTCGTCAAGCCCCTGACTCCTGACTCAGTAAATGCAGGGTTTTGTAGCACCCTATGATTGACACATCAATACCAGTTAAATAAACAGGTATACATAGCTAACTAGTCTCTCAGAGCTGCAGTTACCTCAATGCTGTCCCAGAATGGGTTAGATGCACCGCTGCTCTGCCTTTGTACAGTCCTATGCCACAGCCCCAGGCCAGGAGTCAGTTAACACTGGGCAGGCTGCTGTAGATGGTTGGGCCTCAGTTCCCTCTTCTGTGAAATGAGAGGGCCGGATGTAATTTATCTCCCAGGTCAGTTTCACTTTCAGAGATTCTTCTAGGGAGCCATAAAATGCAAGGGCAAAATAGGTTTACTGTAAGCCCGCCCATCACGTGAACAAAGGCGTTCTCAGTACACGAAACACTCATCAGTCGTGTTGTTGCGTACGTGAGAAGTCGGGATAAATATCGTGTGAGATACAGACCCTTTCTCCCTAAAGGCTTTCTGGCATGAGACATATCAAGGGTGTATGTAGCACTGAGTACTAAACATGCCGTGTAATTAATGCCAGGCATGGAGTCATCACTCCAGACACACCCACACTCACGGCACGCACAGAGCATTTGGTTTCTAAAGTTGACTCCTCTGTCATCCAAACTGACTCTTTCTGACCGCAGCCAGGAAGCTGGGGGTGGGGCCAGAATTGACTTAAACCCACCGAAAGTAGAGGTGGCTGCATGGAGCAGGTTTTAGTTGTTTGCTCAGAGTAGGAGTTGGCAGTGCTTGGGTAGGAAATGCTGCTGCTTTACCTTAAGGATTTTTTAGTGCATTTTGTAAACATCTAGCCCACTGGAGACACTGAGTGTCCATCGCCCTCTCAGGTATACAATCAGTGCAAATCATCAACACTTTACTGGAACCTTTTACACTTCTCAAAGGCCTTATTTCCCTCTCTGTTTGACGGCATGGATCCAATAGGAGAGACCACAAGTTCTTCTAACCATCATGACTCCAAAAAGGAGTGATCAGGCTAGTCCCCATGGAAGAAAGGTGAAAGAAAAAGAAAAAGGGATCTTGCCTGCCCATCTCGGTTCTATGCATTCATAGCAGACACTGAGAGTCATGGGGAGTTCATGACTCCATCACACATATTCCTTTTGAAGGAATCCAGTGAAGAGGACAGGATGGCATAGATTTACCAACTCATTAAGAATGGAAGTCATGTTAGAGACCCTCTAAGTCCAACCTCCTCCATTCATAGTTGATACATGAAGGCTCACTAAGAGTGACTAACTCAAGGTCACATGCTAATCGAATATGAAGCCACACTAGCTTAGAAATGAAGAGAAATGAGGGCAACCTATCTTCAAACCTAATACACCACATGAGATCATCAACACCTCCTTAAAATCCATAGAACAGTGATCTGAAGCCTATTCCCTAATTTTATGAGGTCTTTTCCTAAGAGTTTCATATTTAAAGGACTTGACTGTCCAGAATAAAAGTTGGTTAAGAGAATGTAAGTTTAAACTACAAAATGGGGGAATTTCAGGTGGTTCTTAGGCAAAATCTCGTGATTTAAAAAATTGTGGGAATTGCCAAAACCGGTTTGGCTCAGTGGTAGAGCGTCGGTCTGCAGACTGAAAGGTCCCAGGTTCGATTCCGGTCAGAGGCATGTACGTTGGTTGCGGGCACATCCCCGGTAGGGGGTGTGCAAGAGGCAGCTGGTCGATGTTTCTCTCTCATCGATGTTTCTAGCTCTCTATCTCTCTCCCTTCCTCTCTGTAAAAAATCAATAAGATATATTTTTAAAAATTGTGGGAATAACTGAACTGGAAGCAAAACAAGTCAGAAAGTCATGCTGGTTCTAACTGGCAAGAGCAGTGGTTTGAGAAGGAAGAGGTTTGGGTCTACCTACTCCGGCATAGAATAAGCCATTTCTAAGGTCCCTGTCATTATATGAGAGGGGGGGGGGGGGGGGGGGGATGCCATGGAAACCTCTTTCCTAGTTGAAAGTAAATTACAATTTACTGAAATGCTCCCTCAAGACAGCAAAATCCATTTAGATAATCGCCAAAGATCACTTATAACCTAAAACAAGAATTCTGATCATTGAGAGGTTATACACATGGTTGTCAGCAGTACAAATCAGTTAGTCATTGCAACCACTGACTGGTCTTTCTTACCTTGGTTTTTGTTTTTGTTTTTCAGAATCAAAAAGACCCTCTGGCTGTAGACAAAATAATGAAGGACCTGGACCAGTGCCGAGACGGCAGAGTGGGCTTCCAGAGCTTCTTCTCGCTAATTGCTGGGCTCACCATCGCATGCAATGACTATTTCGTAGTACACATGAAGCAGAAGGGGAGGAAGTGAGCAGTCGCTTTGTCCTGATAAGAGTTCTCCCAATGGGTCCCTTAAGGAATATGTGCCCCATAGCTTCCCCCTGTATAAGAATTTCATGAGCAGGTGGGGACCCTTAAAAAAAAAAATGTACAAATAAAATCCCACCCCCATTGAACAAGAGAAAGAAAAGCCAATAAAGCCAGATAAGCTTTTGATTTTTATATTGCTTGTATCCTCTTGTCCCCACAATAAACAAGTTTCTTTTTTAGTTCCTAATTTGAGACTGAATGTTTACTTCTTCAGAAATGCTTGTTCCCTACTTCATTTCAAAGAAAGCAAAACAAGCCTGGCTGGTGTGGCTCAGTGGTTAAGCATTGACCCATGAACCAGGAGGTCACAGTTCTCAATTCCAGGTTAAGACACATGCCTAGGTTGTGGGCTCGATCCCCAGTAGGGGGCTTGCAGGAGGCAGCTGAGCGATGATTCTCTCTCATCATTGATGTTACTAACTCTCTCCCTCTCCCTCTCTGAAATCAATAAAAACATTAAAACAAAAACACCAGAATGCCCGTGTGCTGCCAGCACACTGCAAAGTTCTTGCCACAGAACCACCAAAGTGGGAGAACACTACCCACCCGGCTTGGAGTCTGACTTCTCTCAGTGATCTGCCTGTTTAGTTCTGTCTAGACGAAGGAACAAAACTCCAGGGATGAAGAGAAGGCACTTCAGGAATACATTCTAATTTTACACTACTGAGCACAGCCTTGCCCTGGCACATCAGAGCCTTTCCAACCAGCACTTTGGATGCCTGAGATGTCTGAGACCATTTTTCAGAGCAAAAGCGTCAGTAAACTCTAGGGTAAGCATAAGTCCATCAGGCAACTAAACAAACAAAGAGTCTATGTGAGGCCTCAATAACATCACATTGACATTTATTGAGTTGTCACGAAAAGTCAGGAAATAGACTAGCATGACTTAGATCGTGGGGTGGTGCTTTTTTGTTGAAGTGCTAGGACTGATGTCTTGATAAAGAGCAAACTTTCTCCTATCCCTTTCTGTGCCTGTCTACAAGCTTCAGCATATATGCATTAGATGCTAGGTGCTTATTAATTTACAATACTCTTTTTATAGAGAAAGGATGTTGAATTTGACACATGAAATTGTTCCAATAAAATAGGTCAGTGAAGATGGAAACATTTATTTTTATGATTGGACACATAAACATAAATCTCGAGAAAAGTCCTGAATAAGGTCATCCACCATCACATGGAAAAGCATGCAAAAAGGAACAGGATATATCCAATAAAATTAAGGTCAAAGATAAAATTCCAACCATTTAATTTTGTCCATCAAATGAATAAAACAAGTCAGCTTTATAGTCTATGGGATTCTAGTAACAAGTTTATAAGAGGAACTTATTACAAGATATTAATTGGAAGAAGGAAGTTAGCTAGCTAAAGAAACTAAGTCCAGAATCGACTCCCAAATCCATGCCATAGAACTGAGCTGCTGAACTAGGAAACCATTGCCACAGCTGACAGCTCCAAACCATAAAACCCATAGCCACACCAGCAAGTACAAATACCCATTTTCTAGCACCTTTCTACACTGGATTTGGTCCCACATTCAAGTCTTAAGAAAGTTCATCAACCCGGCTGGTATGGTGTGGCTCACTGGTTGAGCAATGACCTATAAACCAGAAGGTCACGGTTCGATTCCCAGTCAGGGCACATGCCCAGGTTTCAGGCTTGATCCCCAGGGTGGGGCGTGCCAGAGGCAGCCAATCAGTGATTCCCATCATTGATGTTTCTGTCTCTCTTTCCCTCTCTTTCTGAAATCAATAAAAATATTTTTTTTTTTTAAAAAGAAAGAAAGAAAGTGCATCAAATTAGCAGAATCTCAGTTACATCAAAATCTTAACTGCACAGGAGTCTGGGAAATGAAGTTTTACATCATTTTCCAACCTCTGCACTCTAGGAGCTGGATGCTGATCCACCATCTCCATAGTGATGATTGCTAGTTCTAAGAGAAGTCTTCCAACCAGTAGGTTAAAAAACTGTGATCTCTAAGGACAGGAGGCTCTAAAAGACAACCTGACAGACAGGGAGCAGGGATGCACACCGGCCCATCGCAATAAGGCAAACCACCTCTCTGCTCATGAGCACGGGTACCGGTCAGATTTACCCCTTCAGTTTCCACCATCTGCCTCCCGGAGCAACTATGTGCACTGGATATTATAAAAGTGATGTTCAATTCACGAATGAGCGGGTGAAATTGTAACACCAAGATATTACAGGTTCGGATGTGCCCAAATCCATAGCAAGCTTTCATAGTCCAAGCCTCTTTACCTGACAACAAAAAGAACTATCCCAGAGAGAGGGCCCTGGAGGGAGGGGAGGGGATGTGTCAATTCATTTTCACAATCGGTATGCAGATTTGAAAAAATTCTAAAGCTGTGTGTTATATCCAGAAGATGACCCCAGTCACTGGCATTTAGAAAGATGTCTGGCCAAAACCGGTTTGGCTCAGTGGATAGAGCATCAGCCTGTGGACTAAAAGGACCTGGGTTCTATTCCAGTCAAGGGCATGTGCCTTGGTTGCCAGCACATCCCCAGTAGGGAAGTACAGGAGGCAGCTGATCGATGATTCTCTCTCATCGATGTTTCTAACTCTCTATCCCTCTCTCTTCCTCTCTGTAAAAAAAAAAAAAAAAAAAAAAAAAAAAAAAAAAATATATATATATATATATATATATATATATATATATATATATATATATAAAAGAAAGAAAGAAAGAAAGAAAGAAAGAAAGAAAGAAAGAAAGAAAGAAAGAAAGAAAGAAAGAAAAAAGTCTGATGCCAGGGAATCATCTAGGTCACACAACATTGGGGGGCTGGGGGGTGAAGAGAGAGAGAAAGGAAAATAACACACTTTCTTCACTTTAGCCCCTGCTCAAAGCATTCAGTAGGGAGCTAGTATAGAAAGAAAAATAAACATGGTGTTTATGACTTGCAATCCTACATGTCTCTTCATGCCAACACACTGCAGAGATCCCACAGTCTGACCTGCTGAAATAGCCGTCTAGCTTTCAGGGGCCGCAGACTAATAGCTCCCAGAGGGCAAAGCTGTAATCATGCCAACAACCATCAAGAGGAACCATCTGGAAAATTCCACTCATTCTGCTACATGGCTGAGTTGTGGCAGCAGATCCCGCCCCTTTCCACACCCAGTGATGAAGGGAAAAATGAATAGTAGTGCAGAGAGTCAGTTTCCAACGTGCTGCAGAGCTGACCCTGAAAAATACATTTCTCTCTTGGACCCATTCCCTTGTCCAAATTGCTTGATTGGGAGCCAACTGCCTGTGATTTGATACTTTTCTACCCAACTCATCGCAGTGGGAGAACAAAGGTAAGTATATACACCACTCTCTCTCTCGTGATTTGGCCAATTTGAAAGTGGTTGTTCCAGTACCTTCTCCAGTTCTTAATCCCAGAGGGGCAGTTGTGAATAGAAATTCACTTAGGAGGGCTACTATGTGAATGACACTGAGCAAAATTTTATGGGGGATAATAAAAAACAGATGCCACCCAGCCAGCATCGCTCAGTGGTTGAGCGTTGACCTATGAACCACAAGGTCACAGGTGAATTCCCGGTCGATCGGGGCATGTGCCTGGGTGTGGACTCGAACCCCAATGTGGGGTGTGCAGGAGGCAGCCGATCAATGACTCTCATCTTTGATGTTTCTGTCTCTCCCTCCCTCTCCCTTCCTCTCTGAAATCAATTTAAAAAAAGTACCAAGACTCAATGACTAATTAAAAATGGATGGAAAATGTAAGTATTAGACACACTTCAAAATCTATGCAAGCTTACTCCGAGGGCTGGGTTGGCAGACTTCCAAAAGACGCTTGAGTGTAATGAGTCATTATACACAAGGATTTGCCTAAGCCAAATCCTGACTCTCATCTATTAGCCCACGGACTTTGCATATTCCCTCTGGGATCTTTTGGCAACACTAGGGGTCAGGCATGTGACCTTGGCCATGCCGGTGGCCTCCACTTACACTTCATATTAAAATATAAAGTAATTATATTTTATTGATTTTTTACAGAGAGGAAGGGAGAAGGACAGAAAGTTAGAAACATCAATGAGAGAGAAACATCCATCAGCTGCCTCCTGCACACCCCCTACTGGTGATGTGCCCGCAACCAAGGTACATGCCCCTGACCAGAATCAAACCCGGAACCTTTAAGTCTGAAGGCCGACATTCTATCCACTGAGCCAAACCAATCCTGGCAGGATTTTGTTTCTTATCCCTGGTCCACTAGCCTCCAACTCTCAGTCTGGTCAAGGTTTGCCTTCTTAGCATTTACAACTCATCACAGTGAGACAGGAAGAGGGAGGGATCAAAGGAGCTGGTTGAGTGGACAAGAGATTTCAAGGTCTACTAACAAAAACACAAAAACTGAAGGAGAGATTTGTTAAACACCATGATGAGGACACTTGGGAGACAGTTGGTAGAGCAGTTAATGTCCAGGTCTGGAGTCAAGCAGACCTGTGCTCAACTGTTGCCAACTTGAAGAAGTATTGATAGGAATAGATAACATCTACTGCCCATTGTTCTATTGGCCAGGCATTCTGCTGAGCTCTTAATGTGTTTTATCTCATTTAATCCTCACAACCACTCTTTGAGTTGAGTACTGTATTCTTATTGTCCCCATATTACAAATGAAGAAACACAGCTGTCGAGAGGTTAAGTAATTTGTCCAAAGTCACGTTGCTTTTGAAGTGAAAGAGCTGTGAGTCATATCCAGGTCTGACTCAAAAGTCAATCAATGCCTTTAGTCAAATAACTAAATTGAGTAGACAGGAAAGAAGTCACAAAATCAGATTATCCTAGTCAGAGACCAACAATCCACACCTGTTGTTTAAGAGCACAGACTTAGAAACCAAACTTTCTGGGATCAAGTTCTGGCTTTGCTATTTGCATGCTGTGTGACCTAGAGCAAGTTACTCAGACTCTCAGTGACTGTTTTCTCCTCTGTAAAATGGAGATAATAATAGAACCACCTCATACGTTTGCTCTAATATTGTTATTATATCTAGAACTACAGGCCTGGTGCACAAAATTCGTGCACTAGGGGGTAGCGGTGTCCCTCAGCCTGACCTGCACCTTCTCCAATCTGGGAGCCCTCAGGGGATGTCCTACTGATGGCTTAGGCCCCCTCCCAATGGTTCTCTGCTCTCTGCGGGGCCTGCCTACTCCAACCCGGGGCAAT